CGCCCCGGGACGAGCGCCGCAGCCTGGGCCATGGGTGAGCACCCCAGCCCCGGCCCCGCAGTGGCCGCTTGCGCCGAGGCGGAGCGCATCGAGGAGCTGGAGCCCGAGGCCGAGGAGCGGCTGCCCGCCGCGCCAGAAGACGTGAGTGCCCCCTCCTGTGCCCCTCAAACTTTCTGGGGGGCGCCACGCCGGGAGCCGCCGCGGCTTCAGCTCCCTATCCGGGGGCAACTTGGAGGCTTCAAGGTTATGTCACTGGAGCGTCCGGGATGAGCTAGGGGCCCCGCGCGTGGGAGGGATGGGTCTCCCCAAATGAACCAGCGCGCATCCCACCCCCGCTCGGGTTCCCGCGGCTTCCCTGCGGGACACAGCTCTGGCCGCTGCGTCGCCAGGAACCTGTCGGCCGCGGAGCCCCCTCCCAGCAGCTGGTGCAGTGCCCGGGACACGGCGTTTTCCTGCAGAGGCGGCCGCGTCACTGTAGAGACTCCCCCTCCCCTCCCCTCGGCGACCTGCGGACTCTGCAAGCCGGGGGCGGGGGGAAGGAAGCGGTGCCCCAGGCTCTGGACAGCGCAGACCAATCTGGAGACCCCTTCTCGGCTCCCAGATTAGCTCCCGCCCGGCAACTGCCTTGTCGCGACACTGATTGAAATTCAAACTGGCCTTAGTCCCTGAACCCTACGAGAGCTCGGAGAGCCAGAACGCTGGGACGAAACGCTCCCAGCAGGGGGCTCAGGAGTCCTAGACCACGTCGGTGCCAGGAATGGTCCCCAGGGCAGGCTAGGGAGGGGCTACCCCAAAGGGCTTCCCTGCCATCTGCCGCTCAAATCTCTTGTCCGGCTGTCCTGGGAGGCGAGGTAGGGTCTGACACTAGGAAGCCCTGAGCACTTGAGTTGTTAAAACTACTCCCTCCCAGCACCCTGCTTCTGACCTATCCCTCCCTCGGGGTAAAATTAAGCCAGGAACCCCAACCCGAGAGTCTAACATCTCTCTCGCTTGGTGGTCAAGCCAGTCACTTTTCTCCTGGCCCTAACTCCTGAGAGAGTCTTACGTACTCAGTACTCACACTCAGACTTGGAAGCATATTGGGGGGTGCCCACCCACCCAACCCCCCCTCCCCAAATCAAGCAGGCAAGACCAGTGCTGAAGCAAGGGTAAGTCTCCAGCAGACAGGGTCTGAGTACACTTGAACTCTGGGCGTGGATGTGGACGTGACCTTTAGGTAGCAGAAGTTATCAGAAACCCTGAGACATAGTTGGGAATCGTCCTTGTTCTCATTCCTGTATCTGGCTGTCCCACCCCAGAAACACCCCGTTTCCACCCCGTACTCTGCGTTTCTGCCTTTGCTCATCTGGGGAATTTTCGGGGTTCTTCAGGTGGGCCTCTGAGCCTGGTTCTGACTGCTGGGCACCAGCTGGGAGGTGATGTCGGAAACCTCAGGGGTCTGCAGAAACCTTGGTGATAAGTGCCTTTCTTTCTCTTCTTCCTCTCCTGCATGGCCTCCCTCTCTACCAGCACTGGAAAGTCCTGTTTGAAAAGGTATGTGAGCAGTTAAATCCCTCCCTTCCTCCCAAGTCCTGCCTGAAACCGGTCTCAGTCTCCCAGCCTGCTTGCGTGGGCTTCCCTAGCTCGGTGCTCCTGAGATGGTGACGTGCTGTGGAGGCGTGGCTTAGTAGTCTAGGGCGGAGCCACACTGTGCTCTGGGTATCAGAGACAGCAAGCTGTAGACTCCCTAGAGAGAATCCTTTTTCTCCCTCCAAATTCTCCTTGCACCATGGCTGGGCTTACACCACTTAGGAATTGAACAACATGTATTAAAGTTTTCTATACGCAAGTGTGTTGCAGTAGGAGGCTGGGGAGGTGGGGGAGGGGCTTAAAAGAACCTCCCGGCTCCCTTTCTGCTCCTGTTAATGAAAAACGCTTGGCCTCCATAACATAAAATCTCTGTCATCCTTGGGGAGGAAGACTTGTTCATAAAATGGGTTTTTTTGAAGGCCGATCTTGTGTCCCATTCTGCAGTGGGGATGGGCCAATGCTGGACAGTTTACAAATGAAAACCAGTATGTGATTATTTGCTGTATAGGGGTGAGGAGTAGAGTTGGAAGTACCAAGTGTTGGGTTTGAATCTGGAGATGGACATTTGGCCTTCCCTGGGGAAATAGTTCTTTTTTGCTTGGTACTTGGGTACTGTTGGGTATTTCCTTTCCGTGCTTGTACCACAGTGCCGAAGAAAAGATGGGCAGGTGTTCCAGTGTGGGTGGGTACTGAACACTTCAGTCACAGCCGAGAGTAACTGTGCCATGAAGTTTGTGCGACTTTTAAGAGATCTGCTTGTGTAAGGCAGGTGTGGTGGCACACACCTGTGAAGTCTTCATTTGGGAGGTAGAGCCTAGGAACAGACAGGAGTTCAAGGTCATCTCTGGCTCACGAGCTACTTTGAGGCTAGCCTGGGTTCGTGAGTGGGGAGGGAGGGATGAACAGGCATCTTGACCCAGACCTTTGCTGTAGGTGGGAAAGTTTTCAAAAGCGTTTGTTTCTGAATGTGTATGGATTGCCTGTGCACCGCGTATGCACAGTGCCTTCCGAGGCCAGAAGAGAGCATGGGATCCTCTGGGGCTGGAGTGACTGACTGATGCTTGTGAGCTGCCATGGGGTGCTGGAAACTGAACCTGGGTCCTCAAGAAGAGCAGCGATCTCCTGCTCCCTCCCCTCCTTTAAAGCAAGGCTGTTGTAGGATCCAGGTGATACCTACATGCTGTAACTGTGGGAGAGGTGATGTGGGATACAGGGATGAGGGAACTACTTAGTTGCTGCTGAAGCGGATGCAGACAAGCAGCTCGTGTTAGCTAGTTTTCCATTGTCATTATATAAAGAGAAGAGATATATTTGGCTTATGGTTTCGGATATTCTGGTTTTTTTTGGGGGGGGGCAGGAGGTGTTTATTTTTTGTGACAGGAGACAAAGTTTCTCTGTTTAACCCTGGCTGTCCTAGAACGTAATCTGTAGACCAGGCTGGCCTTGAACTCAGAGATCCGCCTGCCTCTGCCTCCTGAGTGCTGGGACTAAAGGTGTGCACCACTGCCTGGGTGATTTTGGATACTCTTACCCGTGATTGGATGGCCCCTGCAAGGAAGCAGACCCAAGCAGAAGTATGTAGTGGGGTGAAAGCCACTGGCCTCATGACCGTGGGGCAAAGAGAGGGGAGAGACTGAACCCCACACCCCGCTTCCAGACATCCCCAGTCACCTAAAAGCTCCTTACTAGACCCGATAGCTCCAAGCTAGAGATCAAACCTTTAACTCATGTCACTTTGAAGGTGACAATGAGGTTGGAAAGGAAAGATATGGTTGATAGGAGAATAGGAAGATATTAATAGACTTGAGTAGCTGAGGGGAACCACATCCCCAACTGAGATTCTGAACTTCAAGGGAGAGGGAAAAGTTGGGGGTTCAGGTTGGCAAAAACCAACAGCTTTAGTGACAGCCAAGTTTAATGTGGGGACCTAGCCAAATGCAATTACTCCATGGGACTGAACATGTAGGCTTATGGGGGAAAGAGCCTGGTTGAGGATCTTGGGGGATATAATCCTTGATGCCTGGCTCCCAGCATGAGGGCCACCTACTCTCCCTCTGGTCCCCAGGGATATGCCAGCTGCTGCCCTGACATCTCGAGGCAGGAGGGAACCATGGCACTGCCGCTGTTACTCTTCCTTCTCGGCTGCCAGCCCTTCACACCTCCTGCCAGATTTAGAAGGAGAACCTAGAACACCGTGTATCATGTTTTTTTCCCCTCTGTGTCTTTCACATTTGACTAATTTCCTTTGCCAGTTTCTATGTGTGTGTTTACATTTTCAAACAAACCATTTGGGTGAATGGAAGAGAACCTCCAGAGGGAAGCGTGTGCAGCTGGAGAACAGTTCCAAGCAGAGGGCGTGTGGCAGGCACTCAGTATCAGCCATCAGTCTGTAAAATCCCACTGGAGGCAAGTCCTGGGCAGCTTGTAGTGCATCCCCCTGCTTCTGGAGAGGCCCACTCAGAAATCCTCCTAGGCTGGGGATGTAACTCAATGGGAGAGGGCTTGCCTAGCATGCACAAGGCCGTGGGCTAAATTCTCAGCATTGCAGAAAGGAAAATAAATAAATAAATAAAAGGAAAACCAATCAGTCATTCTGGCAGACAAAATGAATTCTAGGAAAGCAGCCGACAGGTCTTACTCTGAGGCATTTTTCTCTTACAGTAAGTTCTGGTTTCTTTTTCTTTTCTTTCTTTCCTTCCTTCCTTCTTTCTTTTTTTTAATATCTTTTTTTTTTTTTTTTTTTTGAGACAGTTTCTTTGTAACAACTTTACCTGTCCTGGATCTCACTTTGTAGACTGCTTTTCTTTTTTCTTAAGATTTATTTTATACACTTGGTTGTTTTGCCTACATATGTGTCTGTGCACCATGTGTGTGCAGTGCCTATAGAGTCCAGAAGAGAGCAGTGGAACTGGAGTTGCAGACAGTTGTGAGCTGCCATATGGGTGTTGGGAATTGAACCCAGGTCCTCTATAAGAGCAGGCAGTGCTCTTAACCGCTGAGCCATCTCTCTAGCTAGATTCCTCCTGTCCATCCCTCATAAGACATCCGAAGACTCATCCTGCCTGGGGCTCTTTTACGTCTTAGCGTCACTGCTTCAGAGCATGGCTTGGGCTCTGTTCCATGTTCATCCCTTATGCACTCGCTGCCCTGATCTTTTGACCCTTTCCCAGCAGGGCTAAAGGAAGAGCAGGTATGAAGCTCCTTCAGTAGACACGCGGCCTCAGACACATGTCAGGTTGTTTCCCTAGCAGGTTGTCTTTCCTGCCCCTTCCCCTGAGTCTGGCTAGAAGTAGGATTTGGCCATTGGTTAGCTTGGTGACCACTGGAAAGAAAGTTTGGCTGGAGATGGCAGGTAGGTTCCCCAGCATTTCCTACAGAGGTAGATAGCCTTGGTAGGCTCACTAGTTAGTGAGTTGGTGAGTTAGTGAGGCATGGCACCTGTCAGTCCCTGCAAGCCCATGTAATCCATGAATTCACCTCCTGGAGATTGTTAGTGGAGTTGTTAGGGACAGAGTCTGGGCCTTGATAACCCTAATGAGTCGGACTTGGCCACTCACCCTCCATAGGTCACTTAAACAGACATAATAAGAAGCAGAGAAGGAAGATTTATCCAATGTGGCCACCTTGGGAAGAGGAATAAAGAGATCTAGTGATCCTCAGAGTCCATCTTCTGTGCAGAGACATGACATTTGTGTTTCAGTTTCCATGGCACCAAGAAATATGCAGAACTAAACCATCATGGTCAAGTGTGGTCCCACCCATCACCCAGCCACCTTCATCTTACCCCGTTCTCTCCTGCAAAGTGGTGTGGCTAGTTATAAGAACTGTGTTGTAGCTAGGGTTTCTATTGCTGTGAAGAGACACCATGACCACGGCAACTCTTATAAAAAAAGAAAGTATTTCATTGGGGCTGGCTTACAGTTTCAGAGGTTTAGGCCATTATCGTCATGGTGAGAAGCATGGTGGCACTCAGGCAGACACGGTGCTGGAGAGGTAGCTGAGAGTTCTACATCTGGATCTGCAGGCAACAGGAAGAGAGAGAGAGAGAGAGACACTGGGCCTGGCTTGAGAATTTGAAACCTCAGAGCCCACCCCCAGTGACAGACTTCCTCCAACAAGGCCACACTGACCCCAACAAGGCCACACCTCCTAATAGTGCCACTCCCTGGTGACCAAATATTCAAATATATGAGCCTCTGGGGGGCATTTTTTTTTCTCGAGACAGGGTTTCTCTGTGTAGCTTTGCGCCTTTCCTGGAACTCGCTTTGGAGACCAGGCTGGCCTCGAACTCACAGAGATCCACCTGGCTCTGCCTCCCGAGTGCTGGGATTAAAGGCGTGTGCCACGACTGCCCGGCTTCTGGGGGCCATTCTTATTCAAACCACCACAGATTGTTCCTTCTCCCGGAATGCAACTCCTGGAGAAATTCCATCTTATTGGGAACTGACCTAGTTAGGGTTAATATTGCTGTGATGAAACACCATGACTAAAAACAACCTGGGGAGGAAAGGGTTTATTTGGCTTACCCTTCTGCATCACTGTTCATCATGACAGGAATTCAAGCAGAGCAGAAAGCTGGAGGCAGGAGCTGATGCAGAGGCCATGGAGGAGTGCTGCTTACTGGCTTCTTCCCCATGGCTTGCTCAGCCTGTTTTTTTAAATTTTTAAAAAAAAAAATTTATTATTTATTTATTTTATAGAATTCAGGACCACTGTCCCATGGGTGGCCCCACCCACAATGTGCTGGGCCCTCCCCCTTGAGTCCTTAATTAAGAAAATGCCTATAGGCTTGCCCAGAGCCCAATCTTTTGGAGGCATTTTTTTTTTTTTTTTCAGTTGAGGCTCCCTCCTCTGATGACTTTAGCTGGTGTCAGGTTGACTTAAAACTAGCCAGCATAGGAAACATTGTTTCAGTAGATATCCAAAGGAAGGGGTACAAAGTTCTCTTTAGAATAGCTTCCTTC